TAATCGGTAAGATTTGGAGACTGAACGTTGATTGACACAGATCATCCACTGCCCCCCAAGATGTGTGCAGTGCTTTAATGATTCACATTTAGCTCAGGTTTTTCCCTGTCTATACAGTCTCCCACACTCTGGGAGCACTTGCATCAAGAAGGCAGTACCACTCGCAGCCTATAAACTGCTGTTTAATGCAAGTGCCATACAGTAACATGAACAGTAGGTGGCAGTTAAGTGCCTGAATTTCCAAAGTGGAACGCCACTAACCTAGGAATGATCCGCACTGAAAACAACCCTTTATAGGGCTCAAGCAGACACATTTAATACCTAGTCTGAGGGGGGCCTGGTAAATCAGAGCCAAGAAAAGGCTGCTTTGCCCTACCTAGTATGCAGTCCCCAGTGATGCCTTGTAGGCTTATAAATACTGATCCACCCTGCCTGTGGTGACTTCCATACCGATGCTAAATTTGACATTTTGTGAAGTGCAAAAGAATCACTGTGGCAAGTGGGTCACAGACAAACTCCTACAGGTTTGAGAGCAGAAAACACTTCACGGCCTCGGCTGTGTTTCCCGGTGTCTACCTATGAGCTTTTGCTGCTGGCAGAGAGAGTTGGGAGAGGAAAAACCAAACACGGGAAGGGCTTACAGGAGGGATGGCTTAGAGCAAGAGATGAGGGCTGTCGGATGAATGTCAGCGAGAGCTTGCTTTTTTAGTCTTGGCCCAACTTATTAAAACCATGGCTAGTATACAATTTTTAAAAATTGACTGGAGCGGGGAACGTACCTGCCATGAGAGCTCATGTGGCGGTCAGAGGGTCAGAGGACAACCAGCAGGGGCTGGGTCTTTCCTTCCACCCAGGCTGCCAAGCTTGTCAGCAAGCGCCTTTACACTCTGAGCCACCATGCCGGCCTCACCGGGCACAACTCTTTGTATATTTACAATATGCACGCAACTGTGAGGCTAAGCCCAATGGCATGTATCTGAGAACCCAGCATTCAGGAGACAGAAGCGAGAGAATCTTGAGTTTGAGGCCAACGTAGGCTATGCAGTGAGGTCCCTGTCTCAAAACAAATATAAAAACTGAAAACAAAAGCTTGCAATCATACGAGAGGCATCGCGACTTTGCAGTTTGGATGGTTGAATGCCTAAAAATTTTTAGCTCTCCTGTTTCTGAGCAGTGTGCCTTGGGCTAGAAACGTCTTTGTACTTCAAATGGAAATATAAGAGTCTCTAATATGGTTATGATGATGGTTAAATGTCAAGATGTGAGCAGGTACTTAGAAGGGCATCTAGCTGTAGGGAGTACACCATAGGATGTGACAATCTTGTGTTGTTTTGTTCATGGGAATATGACAAAGTTTTTAAGGTCAACTTTGGGTGATGAGACAATAATGTTCTTTTTTTTTTTGGTTTTTCAAGACAGAGTTTTTTCATGTCGTTTTGGTGCCTGTCCTGGATCTCACTCTGTAGACCAGGCTGGACTCGAACTCACAGAGATCCGCCTGCCTCTGCCTCCCAAGTGCTGGGATTAAAGGTCTGCGCCACCACCGCCTGGCAAGACAATAATATTCCTATTACATTTTTACTCTGTAGGAAAATCATACATGTATAGTATGGAATATACCTACCTCCCCATTTTCCCCCTACAACCCTCCCAAGAGGTCCTTCTCCCAACTTCACATCTTCATTAATAATCCACCAAGTCCAGTGGGAGCTGCCCACATGTGCATGGGTGTGGGACCATCAACTGGAAGATGGGAATCCAACTAGTGGCCAAACTCTCAAAGAAGATGATCTTCCCTTTTATCTACGAATTGCCTATAGCTCCTCAGTTTGGGGGTGGGGTCTACAGAGCACCACCAACATCCATGCTAGAATTCGGACCAGCTTGATTCTGCAAAGGTAACCGCAGCTGCTATGCATGTGCAATAGGCTTGTCGTGGCCAGAAGACTGCATGTCAAAGCACTCCTCATCCTTATCCTCTGGCTCTTCTTTTGCAATGTTCCTGAATGCTTGGGCTTGGGATGGGGTCCTTCCAGTCTAGGAATAAGCACTCATAGATTCTTATTCTCAGCACTTTGACCAGTTATGGGTCTCTGTGTTGACTGCTGTCAACTGCAAAAAGCAGCTTCTCTAACTGTAAATGGACATTTCCAATCCTGACCACCCGGTCCAAAATAACCGACCCACAAGCTTATATTAGTCACAAATACTCGGCCAATAGCTCAGGCTTATTACTAACGAGCTCTTACATTTAAGTTAACCCATATCTCTATTTATGCTTTGCCATATGACGGTACTTTTATTAGCATGACACATTCATCTCCTGCTCCCTGTGCAGCTGGCTGGTGACTCCTGACTCCACCCTTCTCTTTCCCATCATCCTTAGTTTGGTTGCCCCACCTACACTGCCTGCCTGGCCAATCAGCATTTTATTAAAACAATTCGAGTGACAAATCTTCACAGTGTACAAGAGGATTATTCCACAGCATCTAACCAATGTTGAGAGTAGCCCAGGCAATTTGACAGCATGAACATTTAGTAAAGTAACCGTAGCAGGCTATACCCTAGGGCTTTTCTCTTTTATCTATTTAGAGCATGTCTTGTCTTTTAATGAACTAAATAACAGTCCACTTTTGTCTGCCTCTGACAGTTATAGTTGTCTATTATGGCAATAGATGACTGATAATAAGGGAACTCAACAAGTAGCTGTGGAATACCTAACCACAGATATAGGGATGGTTTGCAGTGATACATCTGCTTTCAGAACTTGCTTTGTCTCCTGGCTTTCTTGTTTATCTTTAAAAAAACATTCATTTGGGATATATTGAAGATTTCAAAAACATTACTTAGACGATCAGAACAAATTTTATACTTGTATCCTCTTTTCTTTTGAGTTAATCTCTCCAATCTTCTTCCTTTTAATGTGATGTGCCCCAAATTAGACATAGCTATGGGAGTTCCTGAAGCCTTAATTTCTCCTGTTTCTGACATTATTTCATTGTGATCAAATATACCAGAAATAAGCATCTGCTTATTCTGCTATCTAATGCAAATTTAATCACACAACATGATTTTATTTATGTCTGGCTTATTTACTTGCTTGCATCTAGAAGCATGTATCAAATCTCATTTGTTTTTATGGCCACATAATATTCCTTTTATGTATAAATATTTACCTATTAATCTCTTGGATACTTAGTTGTTTCTAAGGTGAGGCTACTTTGTATAATTCTGCTATTAATGCTGGTGAATATAGATGTTTGGTCCATGCTTTGCTGGATCATAAGTAAATTGTTTAATTTCTGAGTAATTGCCAGACTATTTTTCACAATGCTATGCACCATTTTTACATTTTCATCAGCATCCAACATTAAACATTTTAAAAAGGTGAACCATTGAATGGCAAAGTACCAGGTTGCCAGTACCAGTTCTCATACAATTCTTATCTTATTCTCTCTCTCTCTCTCTCTCTCTCTCTCTCTCTCTCTCTCTCTCTCTCTCTCTCTCTCTCTTCCCTCCCTCCATCCATCCCTTCTTCACCCCTCCCTCCCTCCCCCTCCTCCCCCTCTGTTACACACATGGGGTAGGGTAGGGACTGATTCTGTGTGTTTAAGTGTTGAGAATCAAATCCATGTCCTTATGCCTGTTAGCCAGATGAACTGTACCACTGCCTTCCATCACAGCGAAACTCTGAACACATCATTTCCTCTATTAGAGCAACATTTTTCATGTATACAGTTAAGACTCCCATAGCAATCACCCAAGGAGTTTGTTATATAGGTAGGGCTCTAGGTCCTGCCCCATAAATGTTGGATCAGCATCTCTGGCAACAGATCTCCTCCCCTCAATCAGCATTAAAATACTAAAATATGAGACTCCTGAAGTTAGAATACTGAGGCCTCCTTGTTGTTGTTTGCTTTTAGTATTGGTTAACAGAGTCAATGCATCCCAGGTTGGCACAAAACTCACAATGTAGCCAAGGATGACCTTGGACTTCTGATCCTTCTGCCTCTAACTCACCAATGCCTGGGTGGGTTGGTGTGGTGCTGGAGGTAGATGCAAGAGACACAAGGGTTTAGTTCATGCTAGGCAAGCACTCTCCAACTGAGCTACAGCCCAGCCAAGAATGGCAAGTTCTTGAGGGCAGGGAAAATATTGGTGTCCCCCCACCCATCTTTTTTTTTTTTTAGCCCTTGGGGTCAAACATACAAAAGACATTTAACAACCACCCACCAGTATGTCAAACTAATATTGTATTGCAGTCATTCTGGACATACTTAATTGCTACCTAGTGGTTAAGACTAAATGTAATCACAATACAGCCAGTTAGAGAACCTGTAATTAAGACATCTTTCATTTACATGGAACATGTTTCTTACCAGTTATCATGACATTTTGTTGCCAAGAATTTTTGTTTCATATGTAATTTTCAGATGAGTCCTTTACACTTCAGGGCAGGGTTTGTTATCGTTTGGTGTCAAGGGCTTTGAAGAACCATCTAGATGCGGCCTCTCTTTTATAAATTGCCATCGACATTTTGTAGCTTTACCAACCTCATGCTGCCCAAGCACAAGTGATAGACACTATGTGTAAGAAAGCCGAGAGTGGAAACCGTTATAGTAACCATGTGGTCTAGTAACTTTAAAGCATGTCTCCAAACCTTCTGACGACTTCAAAATATGTGTGAGTTTCACAAAGCGTATGTAAATACGCAGATGAGAACACAACATACAGCAAAATAACGGGGTGAACATTTAAATACAATGTTCATCCGTCCTGTGCTGCCAGCATTTGTATCTATACCACGTGCAAAAACTGTCACTAAACAAAACCAAGTCTTCCGCCAGGAACCTAAGCTCCTCTGAATTCACTGTTCCAAGTAACTAGCTTGCCTGAACCTCAAAGTTCCCTCTCCGGTGCCCCGGGATCAGCTGGGGAGCTTTGGGCGGCGGTCTCTTTAAGGTGCAATAGAACTCTGATCGCATCGATCACCGGCTCACCTCCGCCTCGCCCCGCCGCGGCATCCCATTCCTCCCCAGGTTTACTCGCCGCTTCCCGGCAGCAACCCCCGGGGGTCCGCTACCTCGGACGCACGCGGGCTCGGCTGTGTGCGAGCGCTGGAGCCCCCGCGGCGCGCTCCCGCCGGGCCGTCAGCCGTCAGCCGTCCGCAAGCGCGGGCGGGCGGCGTCTCGGGGCTCGTCTGGCCACGCCTGGAGCGCGGGCTTTGATTGGCCCGCCGTTGTTGTAGTGACCGGGAGGCGCCGGCGCTCGGGGCGGACGGTTCCGGGCGCCGTACGGTCCCCCCCTGGTCCCCGCCCCTCCCTGGCTCCCGCCGGCCCCGGGAGCTGCCCGCTCCCCGCATGGCCTCCGCCCCGGTAAGGTCCCCGCCGCTGTCTGAGCCGATCTCATGGCGGCGGGGCCAGGTAGGGGACCACGCCGGCTGTGGGCAGCCCCGGCCCGGGAGCTCGGCCGAACGAACGAACGTTCGTTCGCTCGCTCGGCGCCTTTGCCTGGCAGCGAGCGGGAGCGCCGTGCCCCGGCGGGGCGCTGAGCTCTGCTCCGGGGATCCCGGGGATCCCGGCTCTCGGACCCTCCCCCGCGCCTTCCGGGCCGGCCTCCGCGCCACGCCTGCGTCAGAATCACCTGGGAGGTTTAAAGGGCGCGGGAGTCAGCGGCGTGCACCGGCGGCTCCCCCGGCTGCGAGCCTGGGGCTGATGTCGGGGGGCGGGGGGGCTCCTCCAGTTGGAAGGGGGTGGCAGGGGCAGTTCCTGAACCTGTCACCCCGGAGGTGATGCCCTCGCCTCCCTCGCTGCCCACCGATGAGCCGGGGGTCCTCTCCGGTCTCGGGGGCGGAGGGGGGGGGGGAAGGGGGCGGGGAGTGACAAGCGACGTTGACCTCTGATTCCCGAGAGTTCCGAATTCTGCACCTGCTTTCAGACTTGACAACTTTCCATCCTAGGAGGACCCGATTCTGGAACGTTATTTTAAAGGTCACAAAGCCGCGATCACCTCCGTGGGCTTCAGCCCCAACTGCAAACAACTTGGTAAGTTTTTGTTGTTTTGTTGTTGTTGTTGTTGTTGTTCTGGTTTTTTTTTTTTTTTGTCTTGTTTAGTTCTTTTCTTTTTGTGACGGTAACCAAAGCTCACTTGGTTGAAAGAAAACCTTTCTTTCCTTCTTCTTCGACCCTGTCCGAGGGAGCCAGGCGCGATGGGGCGCACCGGGCCCCACTCTAGGTCCCTCTGCTCAGTACCGACGTCGCCGGTCTGGGCCTGACAGACAACTTTCGTGAACTAACCACCAGGAGGAGTGAGTGGGAAGGGGAGGGGTTTGTGATCGGCCCGGGGAGGGTGGAGTATTGGCCGGAGAGTTTGTGAAAAGTTCTGAGGCGAGCAGGAGGAAGTGGGGACCGAGCAGTTGAGCTGCACCGGAGGCCGAGGAGCGAGGTTGGGGGGGGGTCTCAAGTGACCCCTGGGAAACTCCGGTGTCCGGGACGGAGCCGAGCGCCTACATGAAAGGAGGGACCTGGGTGGAAGTTCGCCCCTACCTGAGCCGGGAACCCCAGCTGCAGGCTCCGCAGCCCTTCCCCAGCGTGCTGGCTGGCTGGCCGCGTCTACGCACGACCCGCGAGGATCCGGATGGCCGTGAGGTGGACCTGGGCAGGCAAGAGCTGCCTGCTGCTGGCGCTTTTAACACTGGCTTACATCCTGGTGGAGCTCTCAGTCTCCACTTTGTATGCCTCCCCAGGAGCCGGCCAGGCCAGGGAGCTGGGGCCAAGGCGGCTCTCAGACCTTGAGACGAGGGAAGAGGATTTGTCTCAGCCTCTTTATTTAAAGCCCCCTGCAGATTCCCATGCTCTTGGGGAATGGGGGAGAGCAAGCAAACTCCAGCTCAACGAGGGTGAGCTGAAGCAGCAAGAAGAACTCATTGAGAGATATGCCATCAATATTTACGTCAGTGACAAGATCTCCCTGCACCGCCACATAGAGGATAAAAGAATGCCTGAGTGTAAAGCCAAGAAGTTCCACTACAGGTCGCTTCCCACCACCTCCGTTGTCATCGCCTTCTATAATGAAGCCTGGTCCACGCTGCTTCGAACCATTCACAGTGTTTTAGAAACGTCTCCTGCGGTGCTTTTGAAGGAGATCATCTTGGTCGATGACTTGAGTGATAGAGTTTATTTAAAGGGACAACTTGAAACTTACATCAGCAATCTCGAGAGAGTTCGCTTGATTAGAACCAATAAGAGAGAGGGGCTGGTCCGAGCCCGCCTCATTGGGGCCACTTTCGCTACCGGGGATGTCCTCACGTTCCTGGACTGCCACTGTGAGTGTAACACTGGTTGGTTGGAACCCCTTTTAGAAAGGATTAGTACAGATGAAACGGCAATTGTATGCCCTGTTATTGATACAATCGATTGGAATACTTTCGAATTCTACATGCAGACTGGGGAGCCCATGATTGGTGGGTTTGACTGGCGTTTAACATTCCAGTGGCATTCTGTCCCCAAACATGAAAGGGACAGGCGGACATCAAGAATTGACCCCATCCGGTCACCCACCATGGCAGGGGGACTGTTTGCTGTCAGCAAGAAGTATTTTCAGTACCTGGGAACATACGACACTGGGATGGAAGTGTGGGGAGGCGAAAACCTTGAGCTGTCTTTCAGGGTTTGGCAGTGTGGTGGCAAACTGGAGATCCACCCATGTTCTCACGTGGGCCATGTGTTCCCCAAGCGGGCGCCATATGCGCGCCCCAATTTCCTACAGAATACTGCCAGGGCAGCCGAAGTCTGGATGGATGAATACAAAGAACACTTCTATAACCGCAACCCTCCAGCTCGGAAAGAGGCCTACGGGGATATTTCTGAAAGAAAGTTACTGAGGGAGCGGTTGAAATGCAAGAGCTTCGACTGGTATTTGAAAAACGTGTTTTCTAACTTACACGTCCCTGAGGATAGACCTGGCTGGCACGGAGCTATTCGCAGTATGGGCATCTCTTCCGAGTGCTTAGATTATAATGCGCCTGACAACAACCCCACAGGTGCTAACCTTTCCTTGTTTGGCTGCCACGGTCAAGGAGGCAATCAGTTCTTTGAGTACACTTCCAACAAAGAAATCAGATTTAATTCTGTGACCGAATTATGTGCGGAGGTCCCTGAACAAAAGAATCATGTAGGGATGCAGAACTGTCCCAAAGATGGTCTCCCCACTCCAGTAAACATCATCTGGCATTTTAAAGAAGACGGAACTATTTTTCACCCTCACACAGGACTGTGTCTTAGTGCTTTCCGGACAGCTGAAGGCCGACCCAGTGTACAGATGAAAACATGTAATGCCCTTGATAAAAATCAGCTCTGGAGTTTTGAGAGATAGATGAGCAGGACGGCATCTTCTTTTGGGGAGCTGACAGTAGCTTCTGGAAAGTCCAAGTGCCCAGTGATGATTGCATTTTTCCCAGAAGTCACCCAGCAGCTGGCGGAGAGAGCACTGGAAAGCCACGGTTCTTCTGGGGATATCACTCTGAAACTGGTGCACTGCTCAGTATCTTAAAGTGCCTTCTTTCTTCTCGGGCTGTTTTATTTAAAAGCTTTGTCCATGTGGTCCCCTCCTTCTCTTTAAAGAAGCTGCTGTGAATTGAGATGCACAAAACCCTCAAGTGTGGGCTGTGGGTGTAGCTCAGCAAGACCCTGTGTCTGATCCACAGCACCACGAAATACACACTTAAGTTCAAGACTTAATACTAAAGAATGTAAAAGTCCAAGCAAAATGGGGTATGATCAATCTGATTGGTAAATTCACTGCATGTCCTTTTCTTTTTATCAAAACTTGTGAATGTGTAACTAGAACTATTACTATTTTGATTTTGTAGGATTTGAATTTCTTTTAGGCAGCACATTAAATTTGAGGTTTTTAAAAACTAATTTGTCTTTGATCAAGTAGAAGTTGGGCGAATTTGATCTTGAGGAAAAGGCCTGGTGTCGATATATGTTTTTCATTGGCAGAGGGTATTAGTCTGCATGCAAGTTTGGAATGCAAGTCTGCTCAGAAACCTTGACTCAGGCCGAAATGAGATGGTGAGACATTGACATTCCGTTCTCTGTACACGTGAGCTATTGGACTGAACTGACCTATATATCAATACCTCACATCACTCTGACTCTGTAAGCTGTCCTCTCCGTGAACTTGTTTGTGAGTATAGGGCATTTTCTGATTGCACTTCCTTAAGGTTTGAATGTACTAGAACAGGACTCAGAATACTGCGCCTCCCTTTGTTAAATGCCTAATCCTTTCAAGTAAACACCATTGAGACCTCTGAAGCTAACCCCCAGTGTGTTTACTGAAATGTGTGAACCTGAAAGTGGGCCCAGTTCTGCAAAGAGTGTTCGGCTTCTCATGAGTTCTTGCCCACCTGGAAATCTGGACGATGTCTCTTAAGACTGCGAGCGGGGGAAAGACCGCACTGGTAGTTGGTGATGGCTGCCTTCAAGCTCATTGCCAACACCTGGCAGCCTGGCAGCTCTCACGGTGGGCGAACAACTGGCTCAGCGGAAGGATGACCTCGGCTGAGTCCTTTTTCTTGCTTGGGCCTCAGTTTCCTCATGGATTGGTTCTTGAGGATCCCTTTCAATCTGAAAGATCAGTTGTACATCCTCCTGTCCCCTGCGCACCCACTGTGACTTCTAGGGACTCTTTTGTGTCCTTACTTTGAACATAGGTAGTGCTGAGCAGCTGAGGAATGTTCAGTGTTGAAGACAGAGAAGCCAGTTTTAAACTTCCGGGAGCTGAACTCACCTGAAGTGGTGTGTCTCTCCGGGGATGTTACTATAGTCAGTTGTATAGTCATTTTATTTTGACAGTTGTTGAACTGATTGTGTCTTTTAAAAGTTTTAAACTTTCAAAGTAATTCTTTGACTAAGCGTATAAATATTTCCCAAACTAAATTATTTCAGAAGTAAATACGTTTTAAGACATTTCTTGGTTCCCTACTAACATTTTATTCAGAAATCACAGGGTAAATTTGGGAGTGAGTCTCAGCTTCTTGACTGTGGTATGAAAAATGTATTGCTCTGCAGAGAACCAGTCCTCAGGAATTCACAAGAAAATTGTTTTCACTGTTCACTTGACAGCTTAGATGGAGAGAGGGAACTTTGTAAACCCTGAATTTAAGTAACTTGTTTCGGGTGACCGTTTCAAAACATTAAAGCTTGTGTGTACGTGTGACTGTTTCATTCTCATTGACTCTTGGAATGAAAATCTGTTACTGCTGTTCTATAAGTTATCCGGCAACCTTAAAGTTTGTGGAAGATTTGTCTAGATTCTGTGGGCAGTACCCGACCCTGGGTTTTATTAGAGGAAAATATATAAAAGTATCCATTCAGAGGGAAGTTCTCCTAAATGCACTCTGGCCTTGCCCATGTCCTCTTGAGAACAATTTTTTTTTTTTTTTACTTTTTTGCAGAATTTTTTTTTTTTTGCCTTTTTGTTCTTGTCAGCCCCCTATCATATGAGAGAATGAAAATGGATATAATCCAGAAGTGACTATTGAAATTACTTTTATTTAGTACCTTGATACCCCTATCAAAGAAGGGAAAAGCCTTTAAGACTAGAGTATTTAATTCTGTGTGTTTTCTTTTTTCTCTATATTGGTGGTTATGACTTTTTAGGCTGGTGGCTTATTTATATCCATAATTCATAACAAAGGAAACTAGAGTTGTGTTTTTATATGTGGGCGTGTTCCAATTTCATTACAAAAGTACACCATAATGAAACATGCAAAATATTCTTTCACTTCTTATTTCCAATTTATTGTTACCTGCCCAAGTTCTCTATTTTGCTGTAGATAGTTGGGGGTTGATCTTTTAAGCGAATTTACATGCTTAAATTAAATGTTATGAAAGTATTTGATAGGCAAGGAGTTTCCATTTTGTCATTTACTGGCCAGTCCTGTGAATAGATTATCTCCATAAGCAGCTTAGCGGTTGTTTTCTTATTAAAAAATGATAATATGAAGGTCATTAGAAGGCTTTCTATAACTTTAAATATT